ATATTGATGTTATGGCTCCTTCAGAGATGATTCTCAAACCACCTTTGCCCCTTAATGATCAAAGTAACTGGGCAGGGTGGTCCACCATTATAACCAATGCCTTACGTGGAGCTGGTTTGCTTGATCATCTCACAAGTACGGGACTAGTTCCACTGTCCATCAGTACTGTTGCTTCATCCAGTACTATTGCCTCTAGCAGTGGTGATGTCGATCTTCAGACTGCTCGTGCTCTCTATATCAAGGAGAGTTCAGACCGACAATTGTAGGAATTTCGTGTCATGGATTATCTCACTCGCTATGTTGGCTCTGGTCTCACTGTCGAGATTGGCTCACTTCCCTCTGCTCGGTCCATTTGGACTTGTCTCACTGAGCATTTCACTGAGTGCTCGGGTGCATGGGAGGGATAACTTTTGCAATGCATTACTCTACAACGCAAAGGTAGTTCATCTCTGCAGTCCCATTTTGGAAAAATGCAAGCATTTTGGACAGAATTACCTCTATACTTCTTGGACGTAATTCCACATATGAAGACTGGCTAGTCTGGTACGAACAACATGAGGTGCATCAATTGTTTCAGCCCCTTCCTGAATATTCAACTATGCCTGATCAACTACTTCATCAGCCTCAATTTCAGACTTTGGCCTCAGTTATGTGAGCTCTCACTGCTATGAGACCCGGCAGTAGACAACACGACTCAATTTGTCAACAGACACTCCTACCTCTTCACTCGAGACTGTTCTATCTGTACCTGTCACTGCTCTTGTTATGAATCATACTTCTTCACAGGCTCCCTCTCCACAGGCTCGATCTAAGCTCTCTTGCAAATATTACAAGAAGGAAGGACACCGCATTGAGACATGCTTCAAGCTTCATCCTGAGTTACATTCCTCAGGTACTGGTCGTGGTCGGCGACCCCTCGGTCTCAACCCTCTCGTACACCAAGATTGTTGGCCAATGCTATATCTTCTACTACTTTAGACTTTACTATTCCCACTATTGAAAGTCTTCGCTGTCAACTTGATGCTTTTCAGCATATCACCTCTACATCCGTTGTACAACTCTCTGGTATACATTTTGATGGTTCTTCAGCTAATCCTTCGGTCTCTGGTATGAATGAACTATGGATTTTGACTCAGGCTATTCCTTTCATATGACTTGTAATGCCTCATTTTTATCCTCTGTCTTCGCTTCATCCTCTCTTCCCCCTATCTACACAGCTACTGGACAACCATTATCCATTACTCTATATGGCTCTATTACCCTACAAAATGATCCATCTGGTCGTCTAACACTTGGTCCCGTCTATGTGGCTCCTCAACTCTGGTTTAATTTAATTTCTATTAGCTTTTTATGTATGGCTGGCTTGTTTGTCTCATTTTCTTCTGATACTTGTATTGTACAGAATCCACAGACGAACAAGATGGTTGGGGTTGGTCGTAGGAGGCACAAGCTGTATTTTCTAGAATATCTTCACCTTCCATAGTCCATACGTCTACGTTCTCTTGTTGCTTCTGTTCGTTCGTCAAAACCCTCTACCGCACTTCCTGCCAAGTTATGGCATAGACGACTTGGTCATGTGTCTAATAAAAAGCTAGAGAGTCTTATTTAGTCTGGAGTACTTGGTCCTGTATCATCTAGTTCTAGTATTGAGTCATGTACTGGTTATAAATTGGCTAAATTAACTACTTTACCATTTAAAATGAGCACATCCGTATCCACTTTCGTATTTGATTTAGTACATTCTGATATTTAGGGGCCAGCTCATTTGTCTTCTTCATCTGACTACTTATATTATGTTAGTTTTATCGACGATTTCTTTCGTTTGACATGAGTTTATATACTTAAGAATCGCTCTGACATATTTACTGCTTATCAAGCCTTCACTACTATGATTTTTACTCAATGGCAATCTCGTATTAAAGTTTTTCGTTTTGATAGTGCCAAAGAGTACCTATCCTCTACCATGCGCTCTATCATGTCCTCTCATGAGACTATCTTTCAATAGTCATGTCCCTACACTCATGAGCAAAATGGTGTTGCTGAACGCAAACATCGTCATATTCTCGATACTACTAGATCCATGCTCATTTCTTACTCTGTTCCTCGTCGTTTCTGGGCTGAGGCCATTCTCACCGCGACTCATGCCAATAATATCACTCCATCTAGCTCTCTTTCTGGTACTACTCCTTATAGTCGTGTTTATACTCATCCTCCCCGTTATGATCTAGTCTGTGTTTTTGGTTGTCAATGTTTTTGTTCTTCTGTCATCTCACGAATGTGATAAATTGTCTCCCAGAATTGTTTCTTGTGTTTATTTAGGAATTAGTTCAGAACATTGAGGTTCTCGTTGTTATGATCCCGCAACTCGTCGAGTTCATATATCTCGCCATGTTCAGTTCGAAGAGGATTCTCTATATTATTTTGCTTCTGATGACTTTAATTTCCTCCACTCTACTGATCATGCTTCCCCGTCAACTGCATCACCCACTTCTTCACCTTTGTTTTCCTTTCAAGATCTCCTTGACATCTCTCCCTCTCCTTCTGTTGACTCTTCCTCACCCGAGCCTTCTCTTACACCATCTAATGCCTATCCCGTGGACACAACTCTCACTCCAGAAAATACTGTTGATCTCCACGCACCTGCGCCAGCATCTCCCCTACCTGAGGTTCCTCTTGTTCTTCGTTGAGGAAAACGCACACATGTCATGCCTACCCGGTATGCTTCAGTTACTTCCTATTCACCTATCTTTCAAAATTTTCTTGCTACCATTCATACTACTATTAAGCCAAAGTCCTTTCAAGAGGCAATTTAAATTCAAGAGTGGCGACAGGCTATGGCTGAGGAATTTCAAGCCTTTCAGCAAACTCATACATGGGATGTTGTTCCTTGTCCTCTTGGGATCTCTTTTGTTGGCAGTAAATGAGTTTATAAGGTCAAGTTTCGTCCTGATGGCACCATTGAATGTTGAAAAACTCGTTTAGTGGCTCGAGGTTTTACTCCGCAATAAGGTATTGATTATGAGGAGACATTTGCTCCTGTTGCTCAGATGCCCACTGTTCGTACTCTCCTTACGGTCGCTGCTGCTCATCGTTGGCCCTTATACCAGAAGGATGTTAAAAATGCTTTTCTTCATGGCTCTTTATTAGAGACCGTATATATGCAACCGCTTCGAGGGTAAAATAATCCTCCAGGATATGTATGTATCTTTCGTCGTGCTGTTTATGGTCTTAAGCAGACACCCCGCGCACCCCGCGCTTGGTTTGAGTGTTTTCACGATGTCGTGCTCAAAGCGAGCTTTATGGAAAGTCATCAAGATGCTTCTTTGTTTTTTCGCACTATATCGCGTAGCAGAGTTTTATTACTCATCTATGTAGATGATATGATCATTACAGGTGATGATGTGGTAGGTATACAATACGTAAAATCTCAGTTGCAACAACAGTTCCACATGAAGGATCTTGGATCTCTTCGGTATTTTCTTGGTCTAGAAATTTCTCAAGGCCCGCGGGGTGTACTACTGTCTCAACAGAAGTATCTCTTAGATATTCTAAATCAAGCTGAGCTAACTGACGATGTAACTGTTGATGCTCCACTCTAGCAGAATGTCAAACTTTGCTCTACTGATTGTGAGCCTCTATTTGATCCTACCCGATATCGACATCTTGTTGGCCAGTTGGTCTATTTATGCATCTCTCAATCAGGTATCTCTCATGTTGTTAGCATTGTCAGTCAATTTGTTAGCGCATGTTCTGTACACTATGCTGCTTTGTTATAGATTCTTCGGTACCTCCGGGATACTAGCACTCGTTCTCTTTTGTTTCCTGTTACATCTAAGTTAGAGCTTTGTGCATATTCTGATGCTGATTGGGCTGGTGACCCCACTACCAGAAAGTCTACCACAGGTTATTGTATATTTCTTGGTGATTTTCTTATTTCCTGGCGGAGTAGAAGCAAGATGTTATTGCTCTTTCCAGTACCGAGGTAGAGTATCGTGTAATGTCCACAACAGCTAAAGAGATTATTCATCTTCGTCGCCTTCTCAGTGATTTCGGTATTTCTGTTACGACTCCTACTCCTCTCTACTGTGATAATAAGAGTGCCATCCAGATTGCTAATAATCTAGTATTTCATGAAAGGACCAAGCATATTGAGATCGCCGCTCATTTTGTCCGTCACCAAGTTATCAAGGACAAGACAATTCTACTTCCTCATGTCTCGTCCGCTGACGAGCTTGCATATTTCTTCACAAATGCCTTACCTGTTCATCGGTTCTAGTTTCTTGTACGCAAACTCACTTTGTTTAATCCAACATGAGTTTGAAGGAGGCTGTTGATAATAGTGTATTGTAGTGGATTTTAGTCCTACATTGCTTGTGAGAACACACATCACTCTCTTCTACTTGTATAAATATATGTGCGCACTCAATATTCAACTCAAGGGAAATTTACCCAAGATTCACTCTCTTATTTTAACACATTGATAATGAGAAATGAGCAGTTCTTAGCAATCAAGACAGAATCAGTCATTGGGTCAGGTTCATATTGACAATCATGCGTGAGAGGGAAGAAACTTCTATTACTTCAACAAGATTAATAGATTACACTATTTCTTTTCTCTTGGAGACTTTCCAGTGAGTAATTTCTCAATTGTGATTTTCCTCTGAAGTTTCTTGTTCTTCTTGATTGATTTACACTGAACCCTTTCTAGGGGCGTTTTAGAGACCTTTTCTCCTATATAGCTAACCATCAAATTTATGCACAATTATAACTGGAATTATCCATTTTGCTCCAAACTAGCACTGAGTAAAGATGGCTTAGATCCTGAAGAATAGTCTTTTTCATCAATTACATTTTCTAGTTATCCTTTTCTCTCATGTCAACCCTACAATGAATTTTTTCATCAGAACTGTATTTACATCATTGTAAATAAAACTAAAATTAGCAAAGAAAACAAACAAAAACAAGCACATGAACACGTTTAATCAGCATCCATCTAGAGCTACTTAAAACCCAGCTTTCATATGCTTCAAGAATGATGCTCCTAATCAATTATACTGGAGACTGTTGTTAATTATTGCTAGTATAATTTAGTCCTCCTAGACAACTATATGAAAATAACCACCAAAAAGATAGAAATGGCACTTTACAACAGATTACTTAGCCTTCATTAAGTGCATGAGAATCCGACAACGAGTCCTGCAGTCTCTTGATTAAGCACACAAATAACTTACTGCCACATCATCAGAGTTCACTCCTTTATGCAGTTCCACTCAGCTTCCTGACAAGATATTATGCTATAAGTTGATCAAAAGTATTTGAGCTAAATGCAAACAACCAACATTTACTTCATACCTTTGTTGATATCAAAGTTTAGCCTGCGGGGTGCTGTTTGATGCTGACCTGTGATGGTAGGATGCTGCATTAAAAAAAAGAATATTTTTTTGTGAACTTAAAGCAGAAGGAAAGAGTATGGTAACAAGCAGTCATATTTAACTTACCACTGACTGATTGAGGTGGCGTTGAGGGAGACAAATATTAGGAATGTTGTGAGGGTTGATTGTCCAACCAAGAAAATTATTCGTTTGCCCTTGCATAACCGGTATAGGGACACTAACAGAACCCCTAGGAGCACACCATGTTAGGTTTGAGCTACCAACACCTTGAGATGCCATTGCTTGGTCAAATAAACTCTGTGATGGCGTAAATGTTTCCTATAGTACAATTTTAAAATATGAGAGCAACAGAGACATTTCCAAAACGATGCACAAAATTTAGGACACAGGTTAAGGAAAGCTAGACCTGAGTAGACATCACAGGCTCGGGAGGAAAAGTAGTGCACCCTGGAAGACCAGGAGGAGGCATAGTAATTGTATTATTGTAGGAAACAGCCCCAGCCTGATGATATGTGGGGACATGAGAAGAGTCTTCAACCATCAACCTGACCGAGGGTTCACTAGTTTGTCCTGTTTCCATAAAGATGTTTAATCATTCGTAGCCATTGATGATAAAATAAACGTCGAATTATAATTCTTAACACAGTTCTTGTTTTTCTTTACTTTGTAATGGTTGGTGAGGCATGACTGTGTTGCTAGAGTTAGAAAGAGGTTGAGCTTTCTTCTTCTGTTTTTTCTCAACGGCATCCCCCTTAAACAAGGGTTTTCGACCTCGTTTTTTCTTGCTTGTCTCTGATGCATCCTGCCTCGAGCCAGTGACAGCATTTTCATCTTCGGGTTCTTTGTCCAATGGTGTATTACGTAACAAATTTTCCACATCTACCATCATTTTGTCAAGTTCATGATCAAAAATATCCAAGGCATCTTTCGAGAAAGCACTTTTTGCAGTAATTGTGACCGCCTTATGGCAAACCCGACTAAATCTTGATGTCAAATGTTCTTCACCAAAGGTTTTAACTACTGATTGATGCCTATTGGATACCATATCATCATTCGCATACTTCGTCCACCTTTTCAGTACGTAGTGAGATGGGAGGTCAAGGATGTTATTGTTGTTAAGAACCTTTAAAGCATGCATGCAAAGGACACCTACTGATTCAAATTTTTTACAACTGCATGTAACTGTATAACTGGATGGGTTAAATTCCACAAGCCCGTAATATTGCTTATCAACAAGGGAAATCTTGAAGGTCAAAGTTGATCCATCCGAGCCTAATGGTTCACAAAGACAAGAAAGCTGACCTTTGAACTCATCTTCAAACTCTTTATATATCAGCCTTGTATATGATTCTGCTGCTTCATTTAACATAGGCATATCGACCAACAAAACAGGTTTAGTTTGCCTTGATCTAAAATCTTCATGCAATTCCTTCTTACGGAACTGAACCAAAGCATTATGGTACTGCTCCATAAACTTGGGAAGTGGCAACTTTCTATTGAAATGTTTCTTAAAGTGCTTCTTCATACTTTCACTCCACTGAACTGTTGTCATGCCAGCACAAAATAGATTCTTACTATAGACCAATGCCCATTTCTCTCGAGTTGTGTAGAGATCTTCTAAATATGAGTTGGTTGAAAGATCATACTTGTTGATTAAATTCATCCACTGAGAAAGAAAGTCATCTTCTGAACAGCCTAAATATATGCAGTTCTTAAAATCCTTTTGGAAGTTGGACTCACTACTGTGCAAATGAGAGATGTTCTTCGTGGCATTCTGTGAAATATGCCACAAACAAATTCGGTGACATGCTTCAGGTAAGGTCATACTAACAGCCCTTGATATTGCGGCGCACTGATCTGTAAAAATTGTTCTGGGCTGCTGCTCAGACATTGCAATCATAAAGGTCCTAAATAACCAAACAAATGATTCTGTGGTTTCATCCAATAGTAAGGCAGCCCCAAATAAAACAGCTTGCTTATGGTGGTTTATGCCAATGAATAAAGCAACTGGAATGTCACTCTTGCTTGCTCGATAAGTTGTATCAAATAAGAGCACATCACCAAAATAGGCATAATCAATTATAGAACGGGGATCTGCCCAGAAAATGTTGGTCACCTGTTCCCTATCATCAAGTTGTACAGCATAAAAGAACGAGGGGTCCTCTAACTGCTTGACTTTCAGAAAATCTAGAAGAACTTGGGCATCTCCTTTCTCAAGCTCTCTCATCCTGTTAGTATGCAGATAGCTACTTTGACCCCTTAAAAGAAAACCAACAGTTACAGTCTCATGAGTCCGTTCTACAGAAATGTCTTGTGCTTCAGCAGGTCTTACTTCAACATCAGGCATTTCACCACCACCACCTTGTTGAGCATCTAGCATCTTTCGATGAGACCTTAATAAGTGAGCTTTACTTGGGCGTATAAGTGGATGATTGTGTTCGTATATAACTTTATTCACAACCCACACATGCTCACGGGTGACTTTATACTCAATTCTGGCCATACAATTTGTTCTCACAACAGGACGGGGCTTCCTTGTGTTGTGAGTGCAATGTTTTTGTCGGGTCCCCTCATAACTACATAGATAAACTCTGTCCCTTATTGTTCCATCTTTTCTCTTACCAAGATGGCCCTTTCGCACACTAAACCCCTTTCTCTTTGCATAAGTATTATAAAATGCAAACGCTTGCTCTTCAGAATGGAAGATCATACCAACTTCAGGTTCCAACATAAAACTGTTAGATGCCCTTGGAACATCCAACTCGCCAGGACACGTGGTAGTTTCTTGAGTTGCATTACATTCAGTTGAACGCTGGGACACATTTGACAGAAAGCTCTCAGCAGAAACATAGCCTCTCAACCCTTCATCACCTCTCTCTTTGTCAACAGAAGAATCTTCAGCCGACTCAACTGAATCATGACTTGAAGATGAGTAAGATGATTCCATTCCTGAGAAGCAATTGAGTGAAACCAGTGAAGAAATATTGCATAGCATCCAAATGACTATACTTTAAGAGTAGATAGGTTCCCCCTTTATAGTGTCCAGTTATTAAAAGCACTGATACAATAAAGTGGGAAAAAAATTTCTGAGCAAGTAATCAGCCTCATAAAATATTGGACACTTCACTTATAATACTTCTGAAGCTATAATGTACCATTTAATTAGTCAACAAGGATTAATCCTTGAGAAAATATTTAAATCACATAAAATGCAGACATGTATTATTTAGCTGAACCTGACGGTTCATCTCTAATAGTATCTGTAGTCTGCAGTGTATCTCTAGATTGTTATCAGATATTACAATCAACGCATAAGACATTGAATACAAAGATATTGTTGGCTCCTTCTAGCATTTCGCATTCGACTGATTACAAAGAATATGATGTGAAGGCATACAAACTGGAAATTTGAAAAAAGGATGAGCAAGAAGCATACAAAACTGGGAAGCAAAGAAAGGATGAGGATTTAAATTTTCTCTTTCAATTTACTTATACGCATTTCTTTGTAAACTGAATAAAAGAGTGACTGCTCCAGTTTACCATTAGTTGCCTTTTCTGCTTCTTTCATGTAAGAACAAAATGCAAACAAAATAAAGTGCGACTGCTTCTGTTTAGGCGGCTCATTCTCTTGATCTCCAAGGGAACTTAGTTTTACAAAGTGAAGCAAGGAAAATCGGTTCAATAAATAGCTTTATCTGGTTAGCGAAATCAAAAGAGAATGAAAACACCAAGTAAAAACTCAAGCTACAATTTTCTTCCTACTTGATGGAAATTTTCCTTAACTGTATGGCAGTGTGAGTGGAAGGACAAATGTACATCTAATCTTTATCCTTGCTGCATTTATTTTTGTACTCCCTTTTGCTATCTAAGCCGCCAAACAAAGGCATAATCTTTTCCATCTTTTTACGGGCATAACCCTTGTCTACTTGATACATCTGATCAAAATACTAAAAGGAGAAAAGTTCAAAGGCCCAATTTTTGCAACTAAACATAGAAATCAATATTACTGGCACTTCAATTGCTCTCCAACTGTCTTATCAACCAGATCATGATATCATATTCCATTTTCATTCTCCTCTACATTTACAGATGAAACGAAACATTTCTTAGGCAAAATCACCATCATCAACCGAACTGGCTTAACAACAAAATTACATTATGGACTCCCAATTCCTAGATAGAAAAGGAACTTCAAGTTGTTGGAAATTCTGAATCATATCACCTTCCATCTTCATAACTTCTCCAAACAGGTCACAGGTCAAAAAGCCAATTTGGCCAACTAAAAAAGAAAGTGCTTCAAATGAGTAGAAATGGTGCCTCAGTTTATTGGGTTAACAACCAAATCACATTATCATCTTATGTCTCTGCAATTTCTTCTCTATTGATGCTTCAGTTTCTCCATGACTGCCTTGATAATCGAATTGCTTTATCATTTTCTAGCTTCATTTCTCCTTGAATCAGGTCACAGATGAGATTGAGCTATTCTTGGGCAAAATTCCTCTGAAAAGATGGAGTGCAGTTTCTCCTCTTCATTATTTTCTTTCAACATCATCAACTGCTATGCTATGAAATATAACATAGTTGCAGCTATGTATCCCATTTGTTCAATCAGTTTACTGACACCAACAGACCCCTTATAGACTTGTGTCTTTCACTTAGAAGCACAACATATTACCTTTATCTCACTGATGAAAAGAAATCATATAAACTCACAAATATAGATCTCCATATCTTTTTATGGAAAAGTAAATAACTCACACAGCCTTCACATTGGGAATGTCACTAAGTAAATAAAAAATTCCCAATTTCTGAAATCCATAACTGTGAAGTCTGAACCATAGTTTACTACAAGAGGAATCTACAGCATCTTTCTTCTAGTCAGTCACCTAAAATAACTAACAAAAGAGATGCAATTCTAAATCTAATTTCTATGTCGATACCTTAAACATGGACAGTAGCGGCAAAAAACTTAACTATAGAACACATGTAAACTCCTGATTCCTAAACTACATAAGTCTATTTATGATGTACTAAAACTACATAAGTGTATTTACAATGTGCATTTTCCTTACTCATCAATTTGGTAAAGAAATGAAGTGCCACGAAACAGTCAAACAAAAAATCAGAACTTCTCATTAAAACAAAAATTCAGAACAAGCATCATCACCAAGAAATCCTTGTATCTAGGTTCTCTTTCATTCTGAGTGAGAGATGTTCAGAAAAGATACCAAAATCCTACACACCAAATAACTTTTCAATGTTCAAACTACTCATTGTGCATCTCAATCAACGTTGTTTTTAGGGAAAACACTTCGACTGATATAAGGTTTCTCTCTAATACACCTGCTAATAGGAATAAGTGACCGCAAAAGCACCAAAATCTACAAATTAAATACATAATTGTGCCCTTTAACGTTCTCTGTGTGTAACTAAATTACATTTTAAGGAACATAGATTGAAACTCCTCACACTAATCAAAAATTCAAAACTTCAAAATTTCAATCTTACCCTAAAACAACGTACTAAGTTCATATGCAATTACCCTCCCAGAACAGTTCAGTGACAAACTAATTTGAGAAAGAAATAACAACTGATTCTAAATTCCAGCAAGCAGTTTTCCTGCAGTCAGTGATTTACCTCAAGTTCTAAATTTTGTAAAAGTATAAATACTAAAAGGGGGTTATTAGAAATTCAAGGTCTAATAACCATTTCCATCACAAAAACAGTGTCAAATCAAAATTTTAAAAGCGAAACAGTAAGAACCGAGCCTAAATCTGAAACTGGCAATTATATTACGAGTAAAAATAAAAATAAAAATCCAGCATAAAAAGAGCAATACCCGAATCGAACAAGAGGTTGTTAGGGTTCATGATTTGTAACCGTACGACGAGTAGATTAGGGTTAGGGTTAGGGTTTCGGTCCGGCGGCGCTCAGAGAAGAACAGTCCTATGCGAAACCCTTCATAGATTTCCTTTTTTTTTCTATGGGGACGTCTCCACAAAGAGGTTAGGTCATGCCATCTCTACCGCATGGATATCTATACGGACGTTTGCATACAAAACGTCAAACATCAGTGGCATTTTCGGAATTATCATCTAATTTGCATCCCATCCGTCTTTCATCCCCTCGCTCCTCACGTGCCAGAAACTCGTACGCGTGTGAGAGAGGGGATGGGCTGTGCGATCGCTATCTCTATTTCCTTCTCCGGTCCAACTCTCGGCCGGTGGTCGGTGTCGAATCGGAGACTGTTCGTGAAGAAAAGCGGCGGCGGCGAGCTTAGGACGTGCAAGAATTGCAAGGGTCAGTATGATCCCTCGCTGAATCAGCCTCGTGCTTGCCGATACCATACTGCTCATTTTGGAGGTGATCTACTTGTTTCTATTCTTATGCAACAGTTTATATTTGCGAGGATGTTAATTGTGTAAAATGGTGCAAAGTGGAATTTTTTGCAACTTGTTAATTAAGGTGGTCTCTTGACGCAGTCTGTCAAATTTTGCTTCAAATGGTGTATTTGAGAAGGGTGGTGTTTGTGATAAGCTAGTTGTTAAAAAGAAGGGGATACAAATCTCTTATAATTCTGTAGTTTACTCCATATTTAGCCAACTTAGGCTAAATCCCCCCCCCCCCCCCCACACACACACACACCAAAAAAAAAAGACAAGAAAAAAGAAACAGGAAGAGAAGAAGAAGAAGAAGAAGAAGAAATCTAACTACTACGCTTCTGCAATCTCCAAACCCACGTAGATGGCTTTGCACTAGTCTAATTCTGATCAAAACACTGAAATAATATCTTCGCATTGTTGGTTTTGCACTTGACTAGTTTGGACGAGTATATATCATCAAGTCATCATCCTTACTGCTCACTGCAACTAGAAATGTGGAGTGTCGGCTCTGAATCTGATACCATTTGAAAGAGATCTAGAAGAAATCATTCGTAAAAGCTAATTGTTACAGGAGAGGAACCTAAATCTCTCATAAAGACACAATTGACTACTCATTGTGTGACTTCATAGACCCTTACGTGTCGAAGATTATTAAGTAGTTTTCTTCTGGCTTATTCACCTTTTCTATTTCATACATAATTTATTAGAAATGAATTCTCTTCATCTGATTCAAAAAGTAAAAAAAATTATTTGATTATGGATTTGAGGATCCCGTATGATTGAGACCAAACATGAAAATAATATTACTTAAAATTAACAGAATGAATTTGACATCTACATTTCTAGAGGATTGATTATCATTTTTAGAAGAGTAACACAACAATTAGAGTAGAGGTGTGGAAGTTATTAGTTTCGATAGAGGGAGTCAGTTGATGAAATTGGGAATTTGAGTGTTTTGGTTGTTTGAATCCATGTTAAAGAAAACATTAGGCGCTACTGGGGGCCAACTTGGTGCCTAGCACCTTGGCATCTAGGCAGTTGCCTAGGTGGGGTCTAGGTGGAGTTCTTTTTACGTTTAACTGAAGGTGGAGAAGATTTTGCTGAACGTTGGAGGAGGTGGAGGTGTCTGGAGTCGGGGGAGGAGGCCAAGAAGGTTTGAGAATGTGTAGGCAGCACCACAGGATATCAGGCCACAAAATCTTTGCATTCTGAATAACGACCTACAATCCCCTAAGCTCTCCCAAGAGCTAGGTTAGTTGCCTAAGTACCGTTGAGGCTAGGTGGATGCCAAGACCGCTTTTTAAAATTGTGGTTTGGATGGTAGTCTTAAGTGTTGGAAACAATTTTGAAGTGATATGTGAGCCTTAAATCATGAAATTTTGAGTTTGATGCAGAAGTTAATTGTGTCCAAGAAAAATGAATTTTTTTAAGTGTCGTCCATCCCATCATTATGTTTTAGCTCTTGTTCATTTTAGGGATTTGTAAGCTAACAATCACCAACTCCGATTACTAAATAACGCCTAATGAATGTCACATGGAATTTCAGAGGGAGAATCGTGTGAAAAGAAATGGAAGCATAGTATCCAACTTTTGTGGGTCAACTAGCTACATACAATATGAGTTTCCAGAAGGACTAATTTGGCATACCAAATCATGTGAGATGAAACGGAAGCATAGTATCCAACTTTTGTGAGTAAACTAGATACATCCATGATGAATTTCCAAAATGATTTTCCATACAACACCTTGGAGGTGAAAAGTCAGTGAGAAAGCTTGCATTTTTTAAAATAGTTTCTTGGTTTCCCTTCCTTTTTCCAGAAGTTACAACAAAGTAATGTATAGAAAATTCTAGTTAAGTTTTGAAATTGTCTCTCACCGCAACTTTAGAGTTTCGGTGTGGTGGTACGAATCCTTGACACTATATCAGAGCAACCCAGGTTCCAACCATGAATTTAAAGCGGATTTAAAAAAAAAAGGATACCGCTTCATGAGCCTAGATTTCTGCCCACAATAAGGGCGCTCAACTTGCCGGGGCAAGTTAAGGAATAAAACTGTAATAATCTAACTCTCACCACAACTTTAAAGTTTTGGTGTAGTGACTGGGTTTTTTGACACTAATCGTATTGCACCTGCCCATTTAGTTTTCCCTATATCAAATAAAGAGTTAGCCTAGAAATTCAACCTAATAATTAAGCATCAGTTTCTATTTTCCATCTTTTAAATTTAAATGTTGGCAAGTTTGTCAATTAGTAGTTGAAAATGTTCTATTGTCTTGATAATTGGTTCTGAAAGCATGGAGATCCGATCCTAATGATCTAGATGTTGAACTATTAAAATTTCGAATTTAGTAGATATGGTCTAACCCCAATATGTAAATTACATGCAGTAAAAGTAGTGATGGAAACCCTATTCCTTGATGGTTTGATTCCTTGAAGGTTTTAATTTTTATCTAATTTATGTAGTAAAATTACTGACTGTTGAATTTAATATAGTAACTGTAACATTTACAACAAAGCAGCAAAAAACATGAAGACTGTATTAGATCACTAATTACGTTACATATGTGGAATATAAACCTATGTTTAAGTTAACGATTGTAATTTCCTTAAATATTAAGAAGAAACTTGCATAATCTAAGATATAAACATCATGGACAATGCAAAAACAAAATATCATTGGATAACAAATCAAAATCAGCAATAAGAATATGGGTGTTGTCAGCTAATGTATGGTTTGAAAGGGGGAAAATTTTCAACGATCTTTATCAATTTATGCTTCTCTTTGCCTATAAGTCCTTCAAAAGTTTAGAAACTGCAAAACTCATGAATGTGTTCAAGATAGGTACATATAATTCCAAATTCCTTGCATGTGAATCTGCTGAAGAAATTAGTGTTTGTAATCATTTTTTTAATGCCTACTTCAGAAATAAGTCAATTCTCTGTTAAATGAAAGATTTCAAATTCTAACAGTAAGCTCTTGTGGTTGTTCAACCCCCATGTTTTGGTTCTCTTCTTTCCTCAGATGTCAGGCTGAAAAAAATATTTAACTTATATGTAGGTCCTTGTAAAGTAAAACTCATGGCTTCTTCATATTCATTGCATGGAAACATATACCCATGGCATGTTCTGATAGTTATTCATATGGAAAAATGTATACCCATGGCATGTTCTGCTAGTTATTCATATGGAAAAATGTACTCGTTAATTTTACAGCAAGTTGTCTGAATCAAAGTTGATAAAGTCTCTTCCAGTACATCAATGTAAGTTCTTATTAGGGATTGAGAGCTAAATTTTACACACTACAATTTCAAATTCTGACTCCAAGCTTCTGTGGTTGCTTGATGTGAATATTTTTGTTTCATCTTTTCTCAGAATGTTGCACTAAAATATATTTGATATATAGTGACTTTCTCAGAGTGTTGTTCTGGAATATATTTTCATATTTATTCCATGGAAAATTATATCCATGTCATTTTCCAATAGTTATCTCATGTGGAAAAGATTGTATTGATTTACTCTACTACCAAATTGTTGTTTGCCTTATAAGTAGTATTGTTTTGTGTAATGCCAGGAGAAACAAAGAGAAAATTTGAAAGTGTTTACTCAGGAGGGACGATGAACACTCCTGATGCTGGACAAGTTTTACAATACTGGCATTGCTGCGGTTCTGAGAATCCTTTTGATATCGGATGCACTGCAGGTCCTCACTGTTCATATGATGACTGATCCACATACCGTATTTTCTCAAGTAATCCTTCTTAGGTTCTTGCATCTATCTCTATGTATAAGAAGAAGATTTATACGAGAGAATATTTCAAATGGAAATTTCTATCCAAATAATACTGGTAATTTATTTCCGTTATTTGAAAAGTACATCAGTTGCTAATTACAGTTTATATGTGCAGTCTTTGATTTGTACAGCTACAATCAAGAGTTAAATGCAAAATACAACCCTTTGTGTTATTAAGGTGTAGCTGTTCCCCTAAATTTTTTTATTAGCACTTGCAACCCTTGCACCCTAGACAGTCTTACTTCTTAGCCCTCGTGGAGAGGACATCTTCTTTCCAAGTAAACCTGGGAAATAATGTGGTCTGGAGTTTAGAGGTGTAAGTGATAATAAAATAGTTTACGGATATTTGTTAAATTGTCGCATGGGTCCTTGTCGTGATTTCTTTTTGTTCAAGTTAGGTAATTGAACTAAGGCCTCATTTGGTACAAGGGAAGGGGTAGAAATGGAATGCTCATTCCTAGTTTTCATTCATGCATACCAATCATACCAATCATGACAATTTTTTGACTCTAGAATGTGCATTCTCTTTTCTCCTTGATTCCCACTTTTTGTGGGGACATTCCCAGTGAGTTGATAAAGAATGTGCATTCCTACTTAGAATGAAAAGTTATATTAAATACTATGTATTCCATGATTTCTTATTAGCTACCCATGTAAAAAATAAAATGATTTTACATTCTCACTTTATTATCTAATCGTACCCAAACATGTGAATGAAAATGAGCATTTTATTCTCATATTAAATCCATTCCATTCCTTGCTCTATTCCATTCTCACTTTACTCGATTCCCGCGTACCAAATGAGACATAAACTTATACCCAATAGATTGCTTCTTTTTGTTTTAATTTTGTTTTTAGAATCTGCAATAGTGCATTCCAAGTGGATTTATTCGGACAATTGACCGATGTGTGATTAAGAGAAATGTCATGTGTGTGAGGTTAGAGACGCATACTCAAAGTGTTTTACATTTGTTATGTTCTTTCTTTTATCTCAACATATAATGTATGATTTTTTGATTAATTAACTATATTTTTTATTTTATTTTATTGATTTATTTATTTTTTTAAGGAAATATTTCAAATTATTTAAGTAAATTGTAGTGAAGCTTAGGTACTTGTGGTACATCAGAACAATTTATTGAGCTATAATGTTTCATATTGATTTCTTAGATTACAACCTTCTATTGTTGTTCTACTAAGGAGAAAAACATGGAGATCTTTCTTAAGAAAGCAAGCTCATTTGCACTGTATTAAATCTTCTACTTACTGTGTTAAACTAAGTGATTAGACTAAATATGCCTCTTTTGGTTGAAATAAATCTGCTTCAATAGGTTATAATATGGAGATAGTATCATATCTTCCCCCTTCAACAGGTTACAAAATGTCTTCCTCCTTCAATAGGTTACTAAATGCCTCTTTTGGTTGAGATGAATCCCCTTCACGGGATTGTGAATGGTTACAATATATTGAACTCAAGCCAATGTTCAGTTTGGATCCAAGAAGTGAATGCCGATGAACTAAACATTTCAAATGGGCTCAAATTTAAGCTTACAATAAGCTATAGCGAAGCTCGCCTAACAGAACATGTGAACTTTGCAGCACAGTTCACCTCATCCTGACCCGACCGAGTCAAGAGTTGATCGACTTCTAAACCAGACTTTAGGCCGAGTCTAAAGGCGTCATTGAGTCAGCCAAGTTGTGATTTGAATTCTGTGCTAAATCAAACTCGCCAAGTGAAGTTTGCCAATCAATTAATCAGCGAACTTCGCTAGCAACTATCAACGTGGGGCCATCAACGTGAGACCCATCATCCACGAATCAGAAGCAATAACTCACCCATGTCTAAGTGAGCCTTGCCCAAACACTTTTAACGAGCTTTGCCAAATTAGTGAACCTTGCCAATTAACCGTTTGAGTGTTATTCTCTAAGGGATAACCACTCTCCTACTACCTCCTATTTTAATGGCTACTTAACCCACAATTAAAGGCCATTTACTCTCTCTCTTAGCCTATAAGAGGGGAAGGAGATTGTTCATTTGAAAAAATATATATCAGAAAGGTCGAACGGCCCATACATGTGCGACTTTTCTTTATTCAATTCCAAGAGAATACTAAGCTATCTTCCAAGCAACCAAATCAGAGACTAATAGCAATAAACCTATCATCTTTGTTGGACGTCAATAGAGTACAAGATCGACGCTTCATCATCACACAGTAAAGAACTCATAAATATAAAATTTTCTTGTTTCTCTTTTTAGTTGTAATATGAGCTAATTGTAATTTAAAAAGAACCGAAATAAGATGCTGACTCTGCTGGGGACTAACTTCTCATTCGACGAGAAAATTGTGTCTCAATTCGACAATAAGAATCTTGGGTCTTTTGCTAAATTGCTGGTCATTAAATTTGATCAAGCGAAGTTTAAGGAATTCATTTCCTCGAACCAGTCATCACTGGCAACTGTGGGAAATAAAGTCGCACCTTTGCAAAAGACAGTTTGAGCTTCGTTAAAAGCCAAGCGAACGTCATCCAGAGTGAAGAAATATCGACCCTTGCCTTGAGCGAAGATCAAGACGTTCTCATATCATCTGATTTTGGACATTAGTCAACAACTCATTTGAGGTTCGATTTAAAGTATATCGTGATGCTCGCTATGCTTTCTCGACAAAAGCAAAGAATAGGGGTAATCCTTCGTCCTAATTCTTGAAGGGAATGACATTGCTAATGGTGATCCATTTGACTTCGCTAAGTGAAAATTTGGCCAACATTGCCATAGGCGACGTTCGCATGCCAAAAAAGCCCAAAGCGGCGAAGTTGGATCTAAAAAGATCCATGACTCAAATCAATTTGGAACTCTTGGTGATCTGAGAGAGTTCACATCTCTGAAAAATGCTCGCCAACATTAACATTGCGCAACCCTCAAAGAAGTTGTTACGGTAGTTCAAAAGAATTGCCAATGCAAAGCTATTCCTTAAAAGAAATTGGTTTTCAATCGTCTCGGTCACAATCCTAAGCCTTCAGAGTTTAGGATCAAATGACAACGACGTTCCCAAAAGGATAAACTCCAAGAATTCACATTTAATACGATCTCTGAAGATGAGGAAGAATATGCGAACAGTCCATCTGACCTAAGATACTTTCCTAATATCGGAGTCATATTACCAGAGACTGACTGTGTGTACCGTGACACCAGATCAAGGCAGAGAGCAGCAATCCCCTTTGATTACTCCCTCCTCCAAACATGTGTGTCTTGAGCTCCGCGTCAAGTCGACAAACCCACTGATAGTGATGCAAATTCCGCCATAACGTCAAATGCCACTCCTAGTTCAAGTCAAGAACAACAATTGGCTGTGAATATGACGGAGTGAGAAGATCTTCTCCAATAAATGGAAGCTCAAAGAAAACCTTCAGAAGAACAATTCAAGCGATTAGAAAAGATGCTTAGTTAGTTCATGGCAACTTCTCAGCCTCGTTTGAGTTCTTCAAAGAAGAAGAGACCAAATATGGAATTCTTTTTAGAAGAAGAACAAACGCATCAAGGAGACACAGATTCTGATCACTTAGGATCAGAAACATCAGCTCCTCCCAAGCCAAGTCAGAAGGCAAAAGTCCTAGAAGACCTCTAAAAGCAATCAATGCTCTTTCTCAGCAAACTGAGTTTAAGAAGGTTGGAATCACCAAACCTTACCCGCCATCGAGTGGGACTTGGTTCCTTATTCGATGAAGTTTAAATTGCCAACATTGCATATATTTGATGACAAAGGTTCTCCGAATTAGCACTTAAACTACTTTCACAAACAAACTGGAAATGTAGTAGGTAATGATGCCCTTAAGGTGCGACTTTTTATTAGCACTCTTCAGGGGTTAGCTTTCGACTGGTTTCAGAATCTATCTAAGGGATCAATCAAATCCTGGCTTGATCTAAAATTAAAGTCCTCTCACAATTTCATGAGGAGCAATTAGATGTTACCATGGTCAAACTCCTCTTCAAAAGATATATGGGAAACGAGATAGTCAGGGAATTCATCGAGTGATTTCGCAATCTGACATTATAATGTCGAGATATGTCTTTGCGGATGCTACTTCAAAATTGTCAGCACAATTTCATGGGTCGTATTGAAGCTCATATGGGCGTTGTTACGTCCTATACATGGAAGGACTTAATGGAGCAAGCTGAAATAGCAAAAAAACCATCAGAATGCTTCAACAAGTTTGAAATCTAAATAAAATTTAAGGGCAACAAAGGTAAAGAAGGACAGTCCTCCCAACTGACAGCCAGAAGAGGGAACCAAGGAAGAATGTTTAGCATAATTACTCCTTCAAGGACGAGCATACAGTGTCAATCATCTATGTCCTCAACAAGGATAATAGGCTAAAGCTTCCTGAAGCCTGACATCCTAAAGAAATAAGAAAGACTGACGATTTTGATTACTGCCTTTATCATAGAATGTTAGAATACCGGATGAAGAACTATTATATCCTCAAGGATAAAATATAGATGTTTGTCGAGTTAGGAATTATTAAGCTCAAATCTGAGCCAAAAAAAAGAAAAAAATTATTGCCAATATGGTAACTTTTCAATTTGGCTCAATGCCAGAAATCCAAGCTCAAGATGTTGTTGTTCTCATTCCCACTGTAAGGATGGAAGTGGTCAATCATGACCGACAAAATCAACAAAGTAAGGCTTGATCCCTCTTCCTACAATAGGAGGAAAAATGATGTGGGTGTATCCCAACCTTCTCCAAGATGAACATTGGACCCTTCCGAAGTCTAAGAACACGTGCAAGATGAAGTCCTGCAACTTCCTCTCCGTAAACATTGGAGAGGAATCTCTATGAGTATTTTTGCTCACGGATTCAGAAGAAGATAAAAATTTTATGACGAGGACATGGTCTGACCAAGATTATTTAAAGAATTATGATCAGCCAGGACATTCTAAGCAACTCGAACCAACCAAGCAAAAAGAGACTCGGTTTGACAAGGCGTTAGATTGTCCCTCAGATGATCCTAAAGCCCCATTCTAATATGATATTATGGTCCACTTAGTCAATATCCCGACTTGTATAACCTTATTTGAACTTCTACGTTTGTCTTAGGAAACAAGAGAGACTTTGAAAGAAGCTCTGAATGACATTGAGACGTTCCTCACCCACATAGTCGAGCCTCCTCAAGATGA